ACTTCCTATCCACAGCATGGATCCTGGATCCGTGCTTTGTGCCCCCTGGGATCCAAAGAAGGGGAAAACAGCACCGCAAAGGTGGCTGAGCCCCTTCTAGTTTTCTGCTCAGTATAAAAGATAAATGGTTTTAAATTACTGTAATCTCTTCATGTTTTAGATTTACACTAAAAACAGAATGAATTCGTATTTCATTGGCCTAACTGTCAGCTTTGATCAAAAATTTAGGTAAGTAAAGAAGCAACTTTGAAGTGTGTAATGAATGACTGCTCTTTAGCACTGCAATATTTGAGTTTCTTAGGTATTCCATTTCCAGGTTTGCTAACTTTTGTGAAAATTTACTCTAACTTAGTTTCAGCAGAAAAGTCTGTGTGAAAATGGTTTTCCAGTGTTATAAAAACAAAATCTTTTCTTTTCCAATTTCGGGGGGAAATGTGAGCAAGTCAAGTCCATGTGTTAAATTTCATCAATTTATTTGTTTTGTTTGTATTATATAAAGTTGTTCCTCCAAAAGATGCTACACTCTGCAGATTCTCATTCTTGGGATTTGTGCCCCTCGCTATGGGCATATTTAGTGTGAGAAGTGTGGTTTCCATTTTTCCAAAAAGGACAATCATATTGTCTACATCTACTCTTCATTTCATGATCGTCTCCCATCAGTTCAGCAGGAAACAAGGACAGTCTGCAGCATGGGAGCAGACAGCTCTCTGAGGATCACCAGTGGGCCACAGTTTGAGAATTACTGTTTTAGAAACATTCTTGGAAAGGGTTTTCTGGAGCAGATGGGAGGGGAGGAGAGGCATTGCCAATGCCAGCTCCCTCGCCCTCACTGGAGCATTAAGAGGAGGGGAGGTCAAATGAGCTGCTAGAAATAAGTTCATTCTTCCACACCAGCATGCCAAGTAGAAAGAAAGCAAATGAAGACCAAATGTGCAGTGACACGCTCCCACCCCAGCACTAAAATATTGAGGGAACAAGGGGATGACTGGGACGCTAGTGAGAGCTTGAGGTTTCAGGCTTCCTCAGCTTTTGGGGAAGGGCCTGAATTTTACTATATGTGGCTGTACTATTAAAATGGAGCAACAACAAGGTTGTGACCTATAAGTGATACCATGATACAAACAATGAATAATAATAATAATAATAATAATAATAATGAATAAAGACTATGTCCGCTACTTGATGCGCAGGGCTTTCACCATGTAACTCCCACTATCGCGAATGGTATTTCTCTTAATTTTTTTGCCAAATGATTCCTGTAATGCTAAAACAATTATAAGGCTAGATATCCAGTAGCTACTGTCATACTATCAGAGGGGTAGCTGTGTTAGTCTGGATCTGTAAAAAGCAACAGAGAGTCTTGTGGCACCTTTAAGACTAACAGATGTATTGGAGCATAAGCTTTTGTGGGTGAATACCCACTTTGTCAGACGCATGTCATACTGTTTCTTTTAGCTGGCTGGATGGAACCCCAGTGAACTATGTAGCCTGGGCCCCAAATGAACCCAACTTTGCAAATAATGATGAAAACTGTGTGGTCATGAACAAAGATTTTGGTGAGTAATGGGACAATATTTTTGGATAAATGTTAAGGAATGAGTTGTGATAGGGGCGAAGGCTGTTGCTCTGTACGCCTTCAAAGAAATCTCAATTCTGTTAACCTACAATGTTGGAGGCTCACCATTCTGAGGGTGATACTACAAATGTCAATCTCCGAAAGTGATTTTCTCTATTTAACTTATTTTCAGGCTTTTGGAATGACATAAACTGTGGTATTAGAAATGCCTTTATCTGTGAAAGGCACAACCGTTCTACTCACTCAGAATTTGCTCCAATAGCACCTTCTCCTCTGGGAGGATGTCCTGAAACCTGGCTTTTGTTTAATAATAAGGTACAGTAACAAACATCTACAGTATTTCAGGGAAATTAAATAGGGAACAAATGAATTATTATTTTATCTTATATCATTCTATACAGAAAGCTGCATTCTATCTGGATGGTTGGGCCATTTTGATGATGTCATACTCACATTTAAATCTCTAATGAATTAATTTAACAGAGGAGTAATTTTTGTATCTGTTAGTAGGCCTAAACTAAAGTTATCTTTCTTTTTTTTGCTATTTGGGTTGGTTTTAGACAAGTTTAGTGAATGAAAATACCAGCTGTTCTATTGAGCAGAAAGTCTAAACAGTTTTCTGAATGAGGGTGAACTGGAAAAAATGCAGTAGGTCCACTTTAAATAAATAGCAGGACATCTTAATGTTGTCATCTTAAATATCAGCAAACTAATAGCTGACAAGGAAAACAAATATTTTAACCTTCTTGTGCAAATACTACTTTGTTCCCTTGCTGTGGTAAATGGAAATACACATGACCACAAGAACATGAAAATAAGGAACTACTCCCCTTATGTAAGGGAGAAGCTGTGGATGTGGTATACCTAGACTTTAGTAAGGCAT